CAAATGCACATAGAACATTTTCAAAGATAGACCACATGACAGGACACCAAAGCAAGCCTCAACAAATTCAAGAGAATTAAAATTATATCAAGCATTTTCTCAGACCACAAGGGCCTGAAACTAGAAATCAACCTCAAGGAAGAAACTCAAAAACAATCAAATTCATGGAGATTGAATAGCATGCTATTAACCAATGAATGGGTTAATAATGAGATCAAGCAAGAAACCAAAAAGTTTCCTGAAGCAAATGAAAATGGACACACAACAGTCCAAAATCTATGGAACATAGTGAAGGCAGCCCTGAGAGGGAACTTCATAGCAATACAGGCATACCTAAAAAAGATAGAAACATTTCAAAAAAACAACCTAACCCTACATCTACAAGAACTGGAGGAACAATAACAAACAAAGCTCAAAAGGAAGCAGAAGGAAGGAAATAACCAAGATTAGAGCAGAACTAAATGACACAGAGGCTAAAAGATCAATTCAAAGGATCAATAAATCCAGAGGCTGGTTCTTTCAAAAGATAAACAAAATGGACAAACCTTTAACCAGACTCATGAAGAAAAAAGAGAGAACCCAAATAAATTAAATCAGAAATGAAAGAAGAGAAGTTACAACCGATATCACAGAAATACAAAGGATTGTTTGAAATTACTATGAACAATTATAGGCCAAGAAATTGGACAACCTGGGTGAAGTGGACAAATTTCAACAAATATAACTACCTTCGAAAACTGAATCAAGAAGAAGCAGAAAACCTGGATAGACCAATAATGACTAGAGAAATTAAAGCAGTAATCAAAAAACTCCAGGCACACCGAAGCTCTCCATCAGATGGCTTCACAGGTGAATTTTACCAAACATTTAGGGAAGAGCTAAGTCCCAGCCTCCTCAAACTATTCCAGAAAATTCAAGAAGAGGGAAGACTACCAAATTCTTTCTTTGAGGTTAGTATTATCCTAATTCCAAAACCAGGTAAAGACACATCAAAGAAACAAAACTACAGGCCAATAACACTGATGAACACAGTTGCTAAAATCCTCAACAAAATATTGGCAATCTGGAACCAGCAATACATTAAAAAGATCATACAGCATGATCAAGTGAGATTTATTCCAGGGATGCAAGGATGGTACAATATTTCCAAATCAATAATTGTAATACATCACATAAACAAAAGGAAAGACGAAAAGCACATGGTCATATCAGTATGGGTGGAAAAAGTATTTGATAAAATACAGCAGCCATTTATGATTAAAAAACACTCAGCAAAGTGGCAGTACAGGGAGCACAACTCTATGTAATAAAGGCCATATATGAGAAAACTAAAGCCAACATCATACTCAACAGGCAAAAACTAAAAGTTTTCCTACTAAAACCAGGAACAAGACCAGGCTGTCTGCTTTCATCACCTGTATTCAACATAGTATTGGAAGTTCTAGCCACAGGGATCAGACAAGAAAAATAAAAAAAAGCAGCATCCAAACTGGAAAGGAGGAACTAAAATTGTCATTGTTTGCAGATGAAATGATAGTGGACATAAAAAACCCTATAGACTTCACCAAAAATCTACTCAACATAATAAGTGATTTGGCAAAACAGTGGGATACAAAGTCAATATTCAGAAATTGAAGGGTTTTTTTTATACACCAACAATGGAATATCAGAACCAGAAATCAGGAAAAAAATCCCATTTCCTACAGTAACAAGAAAAATAAAGTACCTAGGAATAAACCTAACCAACGAGGAAAAAGACCTGTACTCAAAAAACTACACAACGCTGAATAAAGAAATTAAGGAAGACACAAATAAATAGAAACATATACCATGTTCATGGACTGGAAGAATTAACATCATTAAAATGTTCATTCTAACCAAAGCAATTTATAGATTCAACACAATTCCTATTAAAATACTAACGATATATTTCACAGATACAAAACAAACATTTAAAAAATTCATATGGAACTATAAGCCACTCTGAATAGCCTCAGCAATTCTGAGAAAGAAGAACAAAGTAAGAGGGATCACAATACCTAATATCAAACTATATTACAAAGCTACTCTAATCGAACAGTCCGGTACTGGCCTAAGAACAGACACATAAATCAATGGAACAGAAGATAGGGCCAGGAAGTAAACCCATGTCTTTATGGGCCACTAATATTCACCAAAGGGAGCAGGAGCATAAAATAGAGTAAAAATAGCCTCTTCAACAAATGGTGTTGGCAGATCTGGACAGCTACATGCAAAAAAAAATGGAACTTGATCACCAACTTACACCATACACAAAAATAAACCCAAGATGGATAAAAGATTTAAATATAAGTCATGGCACCATAAGAGTGCTAGTGGGGAACACAGGCAGGAAAATTTCAGGTATTTCATGCAGTAATATTTTCACCAATATGTCCCCTACAGCAAGGGGCATAAAGGAAAGAATAAATAAATGGGACTTCATGCAATTAAAAATCTTCTGCACAGAAAGAAACATAGCAAAATGAAAAGGGAACCAAACATAGGGAAAAATAAATTTGCCAATGATACCTCAGACAAGGGTTTGCTCTCCAAAATACGTGAAGAACTCACAAAACTGCACACCAGGAAGACAAACAAGCCAATTAAAAAATGGGCAAAGGACCTGAACAGGCATTCCTCCAAGGAAGACATACAGAGGGCCCAGGGACATATGAAAGGATACTTTGCATCACTAGCCATCTGAGAAATGCAAGTTAAAACCACAATGAGATACCACTTCACACCGGTCAGAGTGGCCACATAAACTAATCAACAAACAAGTGTTGGTGAGGCTGTGGAGAAAAGGAAACCCTGGTACACTGTTGGTGAGAATGCAGACTGGTGCAGCCACTGTGGAAAACAGTTTGGAATTTCCTTAAGAAAACTAAAAATGGAACTGTCTTTTGACCCAGCAATCCCGAGTACCAAGGGATAATCCCAGCATTATACCCTAAAATCCTGAAACACCAAATGAAAAGAACCTATGCACCACAATGTTCATATCAGCGCAATTTACAATAGCCAAGTGCTAGAAACAATCTAAGTGCCCATCAGTAAATAAGTGGATCAAAAAACTGCAGTACATTTACACAATGGAATATTATGCAGCAGAAAGAAAGAAGAAACTCCTACCCTTTGTGACAGCATGGATGGAACTGGAGAACGTTATATAAGTGAACTAAGCCAAGTGGTAAAAGACAAATACCACATGACCTCACCTATAAGTGGAACCTAAACAACAAAACAAACAAGCAAGCAAAATATAACCAGAGACATGGAAATAAAGAACAAACTAACAGTAACCAGAGGGGAGGATGGAAGGGTAATGGGGCAAAGATGGGGAAGGGTCTTCAAGGAACATGTATAAAGGACCTATGGACAAAGACAACAGTGGGGTGGGGTGGGGGGTATTGAATGTGGGACACGGGGGTGGGTAGGATGGGGGAGAGTAATGCGGTGGGGAAATGGGAACAAATGTAATTGAACAATAAAAAAAAGAGACTGCTATTTTTTAGTAGGATAATGTTAGTGAAGCTATGTATAAAATAATTATGTACTGGCAATGCATAATGAGTATTTGCAGATAAAACAGTGTGACATTTCAGATTTCTTTAGAACACAGGGAGGGAAAGAGGGAGTGAGGGTATAAATGAAGTAAGATTGGCCGTGTGTTGATAACTGTTGAGGCAGGGTTACAGAACACACAGAGGTTCACTGCACTAATCACTCTACTTTTGTACATGTTTTAAATGTCCTATAATATGTCTTCAGTTTTTGTACTTAATTTTAAGAAATACTGTCTCATTCCCATAGGACTGGGAAGAGAGATAAGCAGTCTAACAACTCTCTAGACTGGGGAACTCTTACCTACTGGTAGAACAGTACATTGGTATACTACTCTGAAAAACAATTTGGTAAAGGCGAGGATCCACATGCCGCAGTATTCCACTTCCAAGTTTCTGCCCTGGAAAAACTCTTGTACATATATACACAAGAAACATGTACAAGAATGATCATGAAAGACTTTTTAAGCAAAAAATTTAAAACCTAAATGTCTGTGATTTATTCCACAAATCATGGAATATACAAAGACTATTATATGGAAGCAAAAATAAATGACCAAGAGTTATATGTCAACATAGATACAACTTACAAATATAACTTTAAATGAAAGAAGCAATTTGAAGGATATATAACATATGATATGAGTATTTTGAGTTTTAAAATGGGCCTGAGAATAAAACACCAAATTCAGGATTGTATTTAACTTTGTGAGGCAGGTACGGGAATGTACTGACTTGTTTTTTTTTTTTACCTAGGTATGGTTACAGAGGTATTCCTATATTGTTTTAAATATAATATTTCTTAAATCCTAGAATAAAAAATATTAAAAATAAACTTTTTAATTTCTATATTTTAAAAGTTTCATTGTAATGAATAAAGAATGTGCATTATTTTCATACTAATCAAATCTTTTTTGTTTGGTAATGCTGGCTTTTCTTTCACAATCTTCGAACTGAATATGATGTTTCAATAGTTATATAGCAATGGACCTAAATCTAACACTGCAGAATGAGAGTTGAGAACAATGCCGACAGCTGTTAATGTATCAGCCGCTAAAACAAAGATACATTGCAATGTTCAAACAGTTAACAACAGGGAATTATTACCAAGGAAACAAAATTATAGTAAGTTTAGGTGTCAAGATTTAACCCATAACAAATCAAAGAGGACTAAGTATCATTAATTGTTATAATCTCATATCCTACCATCATCTAATCCTCAGAGAAAGAATAACTTGCATAAGGAATAATTTGGTATATTAGATCTAATTAACATTTTACTTTTTACACATTATTATTAGATTGTCCAGTAGAGGGCCAAATAGCACAGCAAAAACCTACAAGTTCAAAAGATCTCAAAATGAAGTGTAAGAACAAGAATACTTAGACATAGTCTAATTAAATTCATAAACTTACTATGATAATGAACTCCCCTTCTCGTATTCTTGGGTTTCTCTCCAATGGTTTCTTCCCTTTAGCTTCAAACCTTTAAAAGCAAAACAAGAATAAAAAACAAAAAAAACCCTTCTATGTTGTTTTTTGTTGTTCTCACGTCACATTTATTTGTCAACCCACTTAAATATGGCTCCTTGTCCAATCATTTTGCTAGGACACTTTTTACTATGGAAACCAGTGACCTGTAACAGTCAAATCCAAAGGTCAGTTTTCAACCCTCGTCTGTCTGCTTACAACTTGAAATTGTTTATCAAACCCTCCTTCTTGAAATATTCTTCTTCTTTGAATCTGTGAGACCACCAAATTGGAATTCTCTTGTACTGAAAGACAAGTAATTATTGGTTTATTCATTCAATCATTCATGTAACACATATTTACTCAGTACTACATCCCAGGCACTATGGTAGGTATTGGGAATTCAACAATAATAACAAAGAGTTTTAATATTCTACTGTGAGAAATAAAACGACAATTATAAAATAATAAGATTGAGCTACCACAGGATTAAATGGAGGAATGTCCATAGAAAGGAGAAGACTGGGGCAACTCAGCCAAAGTAGAACTGCCCACAATCTGCAATTTGCATAGGCTCTTTGGACTCTGGTTAGCAAAAAAATTTTAAAGCTAAATTTAATTATTTAGAAAAAAGAGTAAACTACAGCCCCTGAGTCATCCCTATCTTCCACACCAACACAGGATCCAGGAAAACAACCTAAGCTCTTACCTAAGGGACAGGCCTGCTACAGGTAATCTCCAAAATGTTTAGTGAGAGTGAAAGATACTCACTCACTGCTTCCGCGTCCTCACTTAACATTTTCTCCTAAATGTCATGCTATCTGACTTCTAATTCTCATCTCTATTAAGGCAAGAGTGAAATCCAAACTGTTAAATAAGTAATCACAGTACTTGACTACTCCAATTGTGAAACTCCCTTTCCTGAATTTCTAGAACACTCCTGTTTCCTAACTAGTTCTTGTACCTCTCCGATTTTTCTTTCTCTCTTCCTCCTTGGGCCATCTCTTCTTTTCATTCCACAGTTCTGCAGAATTTCATCCAAACCCATTCATTTAACTACTAAATACCCAATTATGCTCTATACGAATCTATAATTTAACCAACCAGTCTCCCTAATATCAAACATATTTCTTGTATCACTATATTTGACACAGTCACAGTAGATAAAAAAGCAATATTCTATTTAGCCTCTGCCTCTTTTTTATATTTTTAATTTTTATAGAGTTTATTTAAGCCAAACTGACAACATATGCCGGGAAGCAAGATCTCAAATGCTCCTTAGCATCTTTCTTGAAGGCAAAATCTGGCTAAATGACCCTATATCCAGATTTGATTACAGGGTCCTTGGATTCAAGTTTGATATGGTTTGTGACTATGAAGCCCGGAGCCCATAAAGCTGCCGATTCCCGAGATTCAAAGCCCTACTTGCCCTCTAGGCAGTGGAAGATGGAACACAAAGGGGTCGCACAAAGCAACCTTGAGAGTTCAGGGGAGACCTTCCAAGATAAGAATGTCTGAAACAAACCAAAGTTCTATAAAACACAAGTTATTTGCATATATTAATTACTTCAGTAGGCCTTCAATTATTTGACTAAATATATACCTGTAAGTGTGGGACTCCACCCCCCAACAACAACAACAAAAAAACTGAGTAGAAAGTATGTCCTGTTAATTCAAAATACAGTAATTTTTATAAAAGTAAATACACCTAAGGCTGCTGCTACTAAATCTTCTAATTTATAGGAGTTGTGAGTGTGTGATCAGGGCAGGGTGGGATGTGGTAAGGGCAGGGGGAAACAAAATTATTCATCACAGCAAAGATACAAAGACTAAATAGTAAAGGTGTGGACAACTGGTAAATTTCAATGATTCCAGATATGTTTTTTGGGTGTACTCAGAGGGTTAAAGCTCATTAAAGATACCAAATGAACCTTGCAAGCACATATCCATTACTGTAGTTAATAATTATATAATTTCTCAATCTGCACAAGGCCACTTCAGTCAGAAAGACCAATACAACCATAACCCTTTATCTTTAGAGTGGTCAGAGTCTGATGAATGGGTCAAAGATTTTTAAAACAGGATGAACTGTATCAGCAGGTTTTGTCTTTGCAGAGCACCCAAACTAAAAATGCTTATTACAAAATATATGCAGTTACAAGAGAATGCTTTGTCCATCTTATTACCAAACTAAAAATCTCACCGTTACATGCTTTTCCATTCTATTTTATCCAAAACACTAAGCATCATAAAGTTACCCAATAGCATCAAAGGATAAAATAAAAAGGCAGCATAGGATTGTAAATTAAAAAATGGGTTTTGGAGTAAGACAGATGTAGGTAAAAACCCTACTTTGTAACTTACTAAAAATATAACTTTAAAATCGTTGATGCTGGTGAAAATTACAGTGGGTTCATTATACTATTCTTCCTTTTTCTGTATATTTTGAACACACCCACATTAAAAAATTAAACTTCTTTACATGTCAAGTGAGGGTTAAGTTTTTTTATCTGTCAAATGAAAATAACATCACTATCTGACAGCGTTTGTGAGATGGGCACAGAGTAATTACTCAAAAAATGTCAGTCTTAAATCTCGGAAACTCTAACCAGAGGGAAAGCAGGGTGGGTGGAGATAGAAGAGGGTTTGGGGGCGGTAAATGGAGAAGGAAGGAGACTTGACTTGGGGTGGTGAACACACAATAGAATATACAGATGATATATTATAGAATTGCACACCTGAAACCTATATAATTTTATTAATCAATGTCACCCCAATCATGTCAATAAAAAAGAAACATTACACACACATACTTGGAGACACAAACAAAAAACAACCCACTGTACTTCCTTCAAATTTTTGTTTTTACTGTGTATTTTTATAGTTGTAACCATCAAACCTGAAATAACTTTGTATTTTCCTTCAATCCATATATGGCCACCTATAATCTATAGTCTTCCTAATCATTTTTAATGCTAGCTTAATTTTTTATAATGAACCTAATTTAGTTAACCGTACTCTCTAATACATTAATTTGTTTTAAACTGTCACTATTACAGCCAATGCTGCAATAAATTATTTGGGGCATTAATTTTCAATTATTTTTGGGATAAACTCCCAAGTATAAAATTATTGGGTCAAAGTTATGTATATTGTTATGGCTCTTGATATTTATCATTATGTTGTTTGCAAAAGAACTGGACACTAAAATGCCACAAACAATGGCTGAGGCTCCCAGTCTTACCACACTTTGTTAGCATCTTACAAAGTAATTTTAGTCCTGGCTGGTGTGGCTCAGTGGATTGAGTACTGGCCTGTGAACCAAAGGGTCACTGGTTCCATTTCCAGTAAGGGCATATGCCTGGGTTGTGGGCCAGGTCCCCAGTTGGGGGCACGCTAGAGGCAACCACACATTGATGTTTTCCTCCCTCTCTTTCTCCCTCCCTTTCCCTAAAAATTTAAAAAAAAAAGTAATTTTACTAGTTAACAGTACAGGGGTTCTTTACTGTTGTTTCATTTTTACTTCCAAATTGAAAAAATAGTGAATTTTAAATTACATTTGGGTTAGTATCCTTAATACATGAGGAATATGCAACAATGTACACACATGGATATATTGTACAAAGTATAGAAAACTCGGTTAAGAGGACAAGGAGGTACACATCACAGAGAAAGCATATAGTTAAAAGACTGAAAACAATCATCCCCCTAATAAAATAAAAAAATTGTAAATTAATGAGAAAACATTTCTACCTATCAAACTGGCAAAAATTCATTTAAAAGGTACAAGAGTGCAGGAAAGTGACTTACACTGTTAGGAGTTTAAACTTCTAAAATCTTTCTAGAGGGCAATATGGCAATGTATATCAAAAGTCTTAAAATTCTGCATCCCTTTGTCTCCACATTATACTTCTAGGAATTTGGCATAAAGGAAAAAACAGTATATATACTCACAGGGATTTAGCTACAAGGATGTTCATACAAGTATTGTATATAATGTTAAAGTTAAGAAAATGTGCATTATGGCACATCCATACACAGGGACACTATATAGCCATTTAAAATCAAGAAGAATATAAAATATCACACAAAATATTTTCTTCACTATACTGATATGTAAACCAAGGAGACTACAGAAAATTATGTATGCAAAGATTTCATTTTCTTTCTTAAAAAACAGTATTCACTTTACCACCATTTACCTTGAAGTTAAAAACCATTCTTCTCCTATATAAGAAAAATGTGTGTTCTCCATAATAACTGATACAAATGATGTTAAAAAAGAAATCATTCTTTTATTCAGTCTCAATTTAATCACTACAATTTGTGATCTTAATTCATTGTGCTAAGAAACAACATTGAGTACTGATAACCTCTGTACTATACACATTCATGCTAAACTCTTTACATTTTTTATTATTGACTTTTAGAGTTAGAGAGGAACATGGATCTGCTGTTCCACCCATTCACACATTCACTGGTTGATGCTTGTATGTGCCCTGACTGGAGATCCAACCTATAATCTGAGCTACCTGGCCAAAGCTCAAAATCATTATTCTTAAGAATTACTAATATCAGCATATACAGGTACCCAATTTCCCAAATCTGAAAATTGAATATAATGCAAATGAGAGAGTCATTGCTGCACTTATAAAATACAGAATTTTTCGCAAATGCAAGGATATCCAAGACGGCGGCCTAGGTAAACACAGCTCACCTCCTGGCACAACCACATCAAAATTACAGCTAAACTATAGAGAACCACCATCACTCAGAACCGGCAGAAATCAAGTTGAATGGAGGTCCTGCAACAACAGAATTAAAGAAATAACCACATGATGGATGGTAGGAGGGGTCGAAATGCAGAGAAGCAGACAGGTAGTACCAAATCCACATGTGGTGGATAATGAGTAGGAGAGCTATCTTGTGAGCAAGGTGTCCCAGCCCCATACCAGGCACCCTAATCCAGGGTTCCAGTGCCAGGGAGATAAGTCCCCATAACTTCTGGCTGTAAAA